GTGTTAAATCACTCGAATTTCAAAAATTTATATCTCAAGTTCAAAACGGTCAATTGCAAACGGAAAAGGCTCATTTTGTTGCTAATTTTTCAAACTATTCACCATAAAATTGTTAACGAAAACTGTCGAAAAAAAATTCTACGCGACAACAACCTTAAAATACAGGGCCTTAAAATAACTACAAAGCCGATGACTTATTGAAATTCAAAAAAATCGAAAGAATCGATTAAATTTGATCTTTTTACGGTTCGCCTTTCAGCGATAATCCGATATGATTCTAGAACGGAAATGTGATGAGGAAATAGTGTAAATTCCAATAATTCTCACGACTAGAATTTCCACCTCGGAATCCCGCAAACTGCAGAGGCACATGCAATTCACGTGTCCCAAGGTCATGCGATTATATCCCAAAGTTGAAGAATTGTTGCGCATGAATCCGCGTGGTGCACTAAATCCAGATATTTTCACTTTTTTTTTTGTCATTCATTATGAGAACGCATGCGCTCATTTGGAAGAGGGAGGATTTGCCATTTGCCAAGGGGTGCACTCCCCTCGGTACATTTTATTGATCACGGAATATACAGATGCGGGGATGCTCCAATCTCCGCAGGAATTATTCCAAAATATTTTCAAATACCAAAAATGGTAAAAATAAATCATAAACCTACAGTCGTACATGTTATTTAATATATTTATCAACTAATATGGTTAATTAATGTTGTTAACTATTATAAAGGAGTTAAAGATTGAGGGAGAAACGCCTTGTGTAGATGTAAAACTGGGGAGTAGCATCAATGAAATTAAATTGTTTATATTTATTTCGAAATATAAAATGTTTCAGTAATTATTTATAAATTATTGATAAATTAGGGGAGAGCTATGTATAATGGGATTAATGAAAGGATTCAATGGGAGGCGAGGGGAAAATCGATCGTAAGAATTTATTCAACATTTCAGTTTTTCCACAATTTTATTACAGTTGAATAATAAAAAATTGTAAATTTCCATATAAGGGATTGCAAGATTAAAAGCGAAAAATGAGCGATTCGAGTTGAATGGCGTATTATTTAAATGTTGAAAATAAAAAAAGTAAGAAAACAACAGATTAATTGAAAGGAAACATTTAATTCGCAAAAAACATTAGGACAGTTTCAGATTGTCTCCAAAATTTTTCGGTGAAAAAGAAATTACTGGGAATAATTACTGATAAAAATTACTGAGAAGGTAAAAATGAGGGATTCAACTAAAAAAAATGAGAAAACAAAAGTATAATCAAAAGACAAAAGTAAATTCGCAAAAGACACTGGAACACTTTTAGATTGTCTACAATATTTTTTAACGAAATAATTATAATTAAGAAATTACCGGGAATAATTTGAAAAAATTATTTTTTTCTTTCGAAAAGAATTTTTGAAATGGTAAAATTTCCGAAAAAGAAAAGCCTCAGAGTAATTATTTCTGGAAAAATTTATTCAATCCATTCGCGCGGAATTGGGAATTGCCCTTTGTCATATGTTTTTTTGTTTGTTATTCATTTATTTATTTATGCGTCTATCCGTGTCTTACAAGTGATCGCAGATATAATTATTATTATTATTTTCATTTTCTTAGGTATTACATTTTGTGTTTTACACCTTCTCCACTTGCTCCATTCTTAATCTATATGTTTAAACAATTTATTATTAACGAGAACGAACGCGCGCTATAGCGCGCTGTAATTTAAAAAATCGTGATTAAAAATTGTTAATTTAAATGAGTCCCAAATTCAAATTAGCCGCCTCAGACGACCCAACCAATGAGAAATAAGCGTGACAGGCGTTCGAGATATCGATAGTCTCGATGTTTGTCCTTTTTAAAATAGGAAAGTTCTATTAATTTATTAATCCTACTAGCTTTGTTTCATCTCAGATATATTTAAACAATAAATCAATTGTTTATTTATTTTGCAATCTCCCTTTGTTCTAGCTAAATTATTATAATTAATGTTAAAATCCTTCGCACATATTGCGAAAAATCATATTTTATCAAAACGGTATTCCTCCAGAAATATTAAAAAATAAAAACAAAACGATTACATAATTTTTTGAAAATTATTAACTGTGTTCTCAATAATTGATTTTTCAATTTTTCATATTTTCTCTTCTGTTTTTCATCAACTGCCGGTGATAATAATAATCATATTGCCAAATTCATATTATTATTAACTTTCTCAAAATACCTATAAGAAAAAATTCAGGGATTCTTCAATTTTTATTCAATATTCCTACTTTTATTAGCCTTTAATATTTATCCAAGGTCACCATAACCATCGACCGAATCAATATGATAATGATAATCATAAACTAGTGGAAATGACCTTGAGAAATAAAATCGTCATTTTTATTTATAAAAATCTCAAAAATGAATTCTCAGGAGAATTTTTCAATTTTCTCTTTAATTCATATCTCTCGCGGGAGAAAGACACCCCCATGCGCGCATGCGCGGGCGCCCTTGAGTAAAAATCCAAGCTAGAACTAAAAGGTCTTATTTCCAGTAATAGAGCAATTGCAGTTGATGTAGAGGTGCCAGTGACTCAGTGATGGCGTACGGTACACCAACACCAGCTGTTTTATCCCCTAACCTACGTCTCCTCGTCATCACTAAAATATTATAAAATAATAATATTAATTAACCAACTAATAATCAAAGTGTCACCGCAATTCCAATAAACTCACATCGATCCTCGCAACTAATTCGTAATCAACCCCAGAGCCATCTCAACTATCGCTTGAAAATTCTATAATTATTCCTGTCTAAATGAACCACCAATTGTCATTTAGTTATGAAACGTCTTATAGGCGTTTACTTCCGGTGAATTGCCTCAAGAAAATCACATAAAACCTCGAGATTGTGAATATATTTTTTCCTTTTACTTTTTCTGTGAGTGGGCAGATGCCTCATCACATTTGAGACCTATTTTGAGTGATAAAACGTCCAGAAAACTCTCACATCTAATTATCAAAGAGTGATAATTACACTCCGAGGAAAACACAAAAATTATTTGATCCTGAAATAAATCCTGACATCAAGGATGTGCCTGGAAAATCTTTGGTCCGGCGTCTGCGCTTTGTCATGAGTGTGATTCACTAGGTGAAAGAGACTTTATCAGAATATCGGAGAAGAAGTGCCATAATCTGGAAATTTATTGAAGAAAGGGATTGAGTGGATGAACCAGTTGAAAAATGTTGAAGGGCAATCAGAAGGATTTTAGTCAAAGCTCTGGCAGATATTCCCTGTTAAATTCAGGTGCTGCAAGGTCAAAGGATTCTCAAGTGCATGGGTCTGGTATCCCAGTGCCTCGGGGTTATAAAATTGACAGTAAAATTGTTAAGACTGAAAAAAATCGGTTGAAATTAATTCTCCGTAGTCCTGAGCAGGAGACTATGACTGATGAACATGGGGAGAAAGAGGAGAGAATCACCTCTCAGGCTTCTCTGGAAACGAAAATAAAAGTGGAATTTCAAGGGGATAGGGTGTCACGGATTGAACGAAAGGTTAGAAGAAGATCAAGGGATTTTAGATACTGATTTTACTGTGAATTTTAGTTTTTGAAACTTTTTTTTTGGGTACAGATTCATTACGTCCGAACTAAACAGCACTGAATTCGCAAATCCGATAGAGATAGTGAAATTTTCATCAGAACCGTTTTTGGAGAGTTAAGTCTAAGCTGCAAAAGATGTTCTCACTAAAATTTGGCTATCTACTTTAGATACAGAGATATCCATCGTAAAAGAAAATCCTCTGCGAAAAGCGACAAGTCGTGTTGTTTTGTCATTTTATTTTCGGGTATATCTCCGGATTTTAGAGGAATAGCGCAATTTTCGGTAAAATCTTTTCTTTAGAGTGCGATTAGACCTACAAAAAAGGAAAATACATAAATTTGGGTATCTTGCTTAGATTCGGAGATATTCCTCGGGAAGTGGTACAGAATAAAAATATTTCAATGATTTACAACAATATATTAAAGATTCTATTGCAAAATAATTCGGTGAAATATTCATGCAAAGAAAGCACATTCGTGACCCTCATTAGATGCTCACGAGCCCGTAACTTCCAATTAGATTTGATCTTACAACTGTACGATTTTCTATTCCTTTCTCTCGAATCAAGTGATTATCGCAATTCGACACCGCAGCAAATTACAATTCACTCGAATTAATTATATCCCTACCCATTTACCTCGAAACATTTCATTTTATTTCAATCACCCAGTCTGCATTTCTTTGTGCTCTTTCTTTTAATGTATACTTTGTAGGCAATTCACGGTAATATGTCTGTAAATGTTTTTATTAAAATTGTGTAGTAGAATCGGAAATCGTTAAATATCTCTCTTGGATCACAGAATAACTGTACAAAGAGATAAGCGCCTTGTGGAAAATCATTTAATTATTATCCCATTCATTGTTCAATCGATGATTTAAGAATACTATTTTTTGAGCCAGGAAAAAGCGAACACTTGCGTAAAATCGATTTTAACTCTTTCACAATCATTTCTTTTTTTTTCGCCAAAAAATGTTGGAGACAGTCTGAAACTGTCTCATTGTCTTTTCCGGCTTTAATATTTTCTTTTAAGAATGTTCTGCTGGTATTTTGTTATTTTTCCTGGTTTTCTGAGATTTATTGAAAACTATCGATCGGTTGGGATATGAAAATGTTGCGGTTGTCCGTTCCATCATGATTGACCCTTTCACAAAGTTTCATCCCGATACACCAATTTTTGTAACTTTAGTTAATTCAATTTAATTTCACTAGAATTTAATAAAAAATCAATAAATTTTAGTGCAAAGTTATAAAAATTGGTGTATCGGGATCAAACTTTGTGAAATGATAAATCATGATGTAACGATCCGATAACAATCGATAGTTTTCAATAAATCTCAGAAAACAGGAAAAATAACAAAATATCACCAGAACATCCTTAATTATACTATTGTTTTCTTACTTTTTTATTTGTCAAAATTCTCCAAAAAAAATCTTGGTCTAATTTGAATCCCTGACTTTTTGCTTCTGATCGTGAAATTCCTTATATCGGAATTATACATTTTTTATCAGTCACGAGTAATTAGATTATGGAAAAACTATTGAAAATCTGAAAATATTGAATAATTAATTGTTACAATCGATTTTTTCAACTCGTCTCCCATTAAACCTCTCATTAATCCCATTTTACTCGGATTATTTTATCCTGTCCCATTTTGCCCGGGTCTCCCCTAAATTTACAATAAAAAAAAAACATCCGGTAAGACATCCACCGAATTTTAAGCCGATTCGTCGTACATTATTACCGCCCATTTCCAATTATTCGTTTTTCCTCAAATTTTTAGAGAATACCAATTAAAAATGCAATCAATTAATTATTGAGCGCTCAATTTATCTATCTACTAGCGTATACGGCGCGCTATACGCGCCCAAGCTTACATGTATGGGGTATATCATATAAAATCTTCATGTAAAATCTGAATATTAAAAGAATCTTAATCTTTAACTAAAAAAATTAGTCATAATTTAAGTTTTTTTCTTTAATTAAATTCAATTGATAAATATAAGAATTTTCAATATATAAACATATTATATATTATATATATTATATATTAATTATTATATATTAATTATTATATATTAATTATTTATATGAATATATTAATATGATATGCATAGCTTGGCTATGCGCCAAAAAAAGCTGACAAAAAACGTTACATGCTTTTTTTTTAACGGAAATATTTATCTGAATACAGGGAAATGTTGAAAATTGAGAATGAAACAATTTTGATATCACTCTCGTGTATAACAAATAAAACCACCGACTGGGGAGTACTATTCCTTTAATCAATCTCAGATTTCCACTCGACATATGTAAGTCTCATTTTACTTCTTCCTGCAGGTGGCCTGCTTTGCCTCAGCTACTCTTGCTGACTTTCGATCATTCAAGTCTTTGAAAAGTCCCCCGATGATAGCTTATCACTCCCCAAACCAGCCTTATCACAGATCAATATATTCCAATCACAATTGTCAATAATTAATCAAACCAATCTACTCTTATCATCTCCCATGACGACTTTTTCCCAAATATCTCCAAACCAACCAAAAATATCAACATCTTCACAGACACCTTTTTTCTACCTCTAATCTTCCTCTACAAAAAAGTTATCTACAAAAACTGGCTATCTCCCTTCAGTTCAGAGATATTATTAATAGAAAAAAAGAATGATCACAGGAAAAAAATAGACGTATCAATCAGCTGCTGCAGTTGATTAACCATTGGTTTAATTTGGAGTTTGAAGATTTCGTGTAGTTTTTTATGTTAAAAAATATAATAAACCCTTCGGGGAATGCCTTCTGATTGTGATAGAACGGCGCAGTACATTAATCCCCACTATTTTACGCGCAGGAGGAATTGCCGTTGCGTCGAGGAAAACAGCAGTCGAGTTTTCTCAACCCGGATAAGCCGGACTTACCGGTGTACCCACGTTTTCCCATCAGTATAACACCGACATATCAACTGTCCACTGATCACCACCAAGATTCCACCCTGACATCAAAAAATTTCACCACTACAATACGATGCAAGTACAAAGAGGGAGATAATGTGATGGATTCCACTGAGCAAGAAGCAAATCAGAAAGTGAGTGAATCATTGTCCCCTCGACAATTTGTTGGATTTATTTTTTGATTATTCATTAAATTATTTGTCTGGGGCATCAGGAAAATTGTCAGTTTTACCACTGGATTCGAAATTCGGGGGAGATTTATTGCTGGGGAGAATGAGAAACCGCGCACACCACCCTAACGCCATCCATGAAATCCACCACCACTTGGTCGTATTGATTTTCTTTTCACAACATTCTAGTCGGTGCATTCTTCCTGCTGTTTTATTTCACGGGATTTTTATAGTTTGAGATATCATTTTCTGCGGTTTTCACTTCCGAGTGGAAGCATTGCAATCCTTCGATTTTTCCATTTTCTAATTTTGCCTGAGAATTATGTAGAACTGTCTGAAACGTAAAAATACGAACTTCGAGGGACATGTGTGTGAAAAGAGGAAGAATAACTAGGTAAATTAATTTCAAAAAATCTGAAACTTTGGCAGTTCATAGGTCCCAATATAGACTTGATCTGTGCTAAATTTCACTCGGATCGGTCCAGTAGTTTTCGAAATATCGGTGATTGCCGCTGAAAAGTTTTTTGCAAATATCTCGGAAACTATCCAACCGATTTAATTTATTTATTTTTTAAAATGTTCGTCTCAATGTGCTCTATGTAGATCGGTCAGAATATATGTATGAGTCTCCACAAAGTTTTCGAGATATCTCAATTTTTATTTTTTTCGCAAAAAATCGTACGCGCCCTATTTTTGAAAATCCATCTAACTCGTTTTTTGTTTCAGATTTTTTCACAATCCAGTAGATGCTACGAGGAGGAGGGCAGCAGTGATGATGACATCAAGGGTGAGGACTCCTCTGAGGGGAATAGACTGTCCTCTCTTTATCATGGGACTTGGCCTGTCAAACATAATACGTGGACTGCACAGGGATTTTCGGGTCAATCGGCCAGTAATAGTCATGTAAGTTCTCATTATCTTATGATTTCAGTAATTAATGTTGATTATGTTTCCATCCAAATTTCGGATAGTAGAATTGCACCATGCGACGAGGCTACTGGTATATACTGAATATTTTTCGAATATTATGTCTCTTACGGATACATATGAAACAAAAAACTGTTGGATCGTGGTAACCGCTGATTGAAATTGACAGATTGAATTTGAAATCAAATTTGTATTGCGGGAGCTACTCTAATGGTTATTAAAAAATGATGAAAAAAAAAGAGGAAAAATTATTGAAGGGCGCTAAAGAGCGATATTGTTTAAAAGGGATATACCAAGTTTACAAAAAAATAATAAAAATTACGCAGTTTACCGATGCTCTCCAGAAGATTGAGTGACAGCTAGATGCAATAGTAAGCTACGTATTTTTTATTATTTTTTAGCAAACTTGGTAAATTCCTTTTAAATAATATCGATCTTTAGCGTCATTCAATAATTTTTCCTCTTTTTTTTCATTATTTTCTCATGTCCATTCAAGTGCTTCCCGCAACACAAAATTGGTCCCAAATTTTAATATATTTTAGGTTAAAAAGTTAAAATTTAAACAAAAGTCGATGTTCGATATGTCCACCCGGGCTTTAAATTGAAATATTTTTTTTCTCATTTTTTGAATAGAGACTTCGTCTCATGGTGCAGTCCCATCCGCTGGAATTTGAACGAAGAAGACAATCCCCCGAATAAGAGCCGCGAAATTAATCCCTCTAGGTTTCCTGGAAACAAAATTTTTTAACCTGAAATACTAACACGTTCATTTGTTCGCAACGAACCTATCAGGAACTATCCAATAATTTCGAGGCTCTCGTGGTATCATATGTGAAAATAATTCTAGAAGTCTTATGCAGTTGGAGATTTAGTTTTTTGGGATTCAGCTCTGGTTCGTGGAAAGGAGAAGATTAAATACGAAAATTCAACGCAGGGTTTAATTAACCGATTAATTTAATTGGAATTCTTTTTGGTGCCATGAATTGAAATAGAAAACATTAAAACAATTCTGGAGCTCGATGAAAATGGAAATGAATGTTTTTTTCTGGATTTAACTATCAGAATTTATCCCAGTGTTTTGGGAAGAATTATTATTTCTACTACAATTTTTAATTATTAGGTAGAAAAAACAAACATTAAAATTGGAGATTCTTCTGTAATTTCATTAATTCAATTTCAATTTCAATTTTCTTCTAGATCCCATGAATGAAAATTAAAGACATTTAAAAAAGTCTCGTACTCGATTCCAATGGCAATTGCGTTTCTTCCGGATTTCACTCTAGCTCGTGAAAAGAAGAAGATTGAACATCAGAATTTCCCCCAGTGTTTTAAGAAAAACTAATATTTCTTCTGCAATTTTTCGTTACTAAATAGAAAAAAGCAGACATTTCAATTGAACATTTCACTAGTTACATTACTTGCTTCTAATTCCTGATTCAATTAACTGAATTTGAATCCCTCTAACTGTACAGGATTAGCGACGACATGGAATAAGTGATTTTCTTTCTTCACTTTCTTGCCCCAATGAATGATTTCTTCCCTTCCGTCAATTGAAAAAAGGAATTCCAACTTATAAAAAGAAATTTTCCTAATAGATTCAAGTGACAAATTTTCCTCAAACCTTAAAAAGTCGTCAAGAATAACAAAAATATTGTATTCCTCAGGAGATGGCGAGTGTAATGTCCTTCTCCTCGGGGAGTGGCTGTTCAGTGGGTCTCCAAGGTCACCGTCGTCTAGGTGCGAAGGTTGACGTAGTGTACAGCCTCCTGGGGATGTTAGGCAGTACAGAGGGCCGAGAGGACATGTCCGGTACTCTCCTGGCAATGAGTAACTCAATCGACAGTTGCCTGGTGATGCGGCAGTCCGGTTGTCTTCCCCTACTAGTGCAGCTGATCCACGCCCCAGGACAAGACCCCGAGACACGTGAACGCGCCTCCCGAGCTCTTCATAACGTAGTGCATGCCAGGACAGATGAGAAAATAGGTAGACGCGAGGCTAGAGTACTTCGACTGCTGGAGCAAGTGAGGGATTACTGCCAGGTGTTGAGGACATCTCTGGAGACAGAACGACCACCAGACGATCTGGAGAGGCATCCAGGCCCAACAATAGCTGCTCTCATGAAATTATCCTTCGACGAGGCCCACAGACACGCCATGTGTCAACTGGGTGGTCTTCACGCTGTCGCTGAACTCATAGAGATGGATCATGCAGCTCATGGCACTGACTCTGACGATCAGAGCTGCATAACCCTGAGGAGATACGCCGGCATGGCCCTCACCAATCTCACCTTTGGTGATGGTAACAATAAGGCGTTGTTGTGCTCATTCAGGGAATTTATGAAAGCACTTGTCACTCAGTTGAGGAGTCTCAGCGATGATTTGAGACAGGTGACAGCATCTGTCTTGAGGAATCTCTCGTGGCGCGCTGACTCCAGCAGCAAACAAACACTTCGTGAAGTTGGTGCTGTGATGGGACTGATGAGGGCTGCCATGGAGGGGAGAAAGGAGTCGACGTTGAAGTCAATTCTGTCAGCCCTCTGGAATTTATCTGCCCACTGCAGCACCAATAAAGTTGATATATGTGCTGTTGATGGGGCACTGGCTTTTCTGGTTGACATGCTGAGCTACAAAGCACCCTCTAAGACCCTTGCTATCGTGGAAAATGCTGGGGGAATACTGAGGAATGTATCGAGTCACATTGCAGTGAGAGAGGATTATCGTGTGATTGTCAGGGAACGTGGCTGTCTCCAAGTGCTTCTTCGACAATTGAGATCACCTAGTTTGACTGTTGTCAGTAATGCTTGTGGTGCGCTCTGGAATTTATCAGCAAGATGTCCTCATGATCAGAGACTTCTGTGGGATCTTGGTGCTGTACCCATGCTCAGGAGTCTTGTTCATTCCAAACACAAGATGATATCAATGGGATCATCAGCTGCACTCAAGAATCTACTGAGTGCACGACCTGGTGGCAGTAATCTTGTACATCTTGATTCAACTGCTCGTGGACTTGGATTACCAACTCTGCCAACTCTCAATGCCAGGCGACAGCGAGCACTGGAGCAGGAGATTGATCAAAATCTCTCGGAGACGTGTGAGAACATCGAGCCTAGCACATCACCAACGACAAAGGACGACAAGTTCTTGTTCAAGGAGAGCAGTGATAGTGCATCGAAGAGGAATTGTGCGACTGTATCGTCAAGGTACAATGGAGTACCTAGGAGTGAAAGCAGAGAATCCATGAGATCTGTCACGAGTACACATTCAGACACGATCTTTGAGAGAGTTAATCGTCATGTTATCAACGGATTTACACCGACTGAGATGCAGATTAAACAGCAATCGTCGTCTCTTCATGGTGCAACGGGATTCAATGGACAAGGAACGAGAGATCACAACAAGACGAGTCAGTTGGAGAAGAAATACGCCCTGAAGTACAAGAATTCCATTCCAGAGAGGCTTAGACCGACAGACTTGGGTATCACTGGATCCACAATATCGTGGACAACGGGACCTGATCAGGAGTCTGTCTGCTCCTTCCTGAGGACATCCATCGAGAAGAAATTGTCGACTGCTTCAGGTGGTCAATCAGGAAGTGAATGCAGCTTTACAAAGATCAAAACTCCAAGTCCAATATCACCAGTCGATGGTGCCAATTTCAGTGGTACTTTTGACGTTGGATTCATCAACAAGCCAATTATCTCTCCCACATCGTCTCACACGTCTGAAGGTGATCCCTTTGGTAATTACGCTGAGACAGATCTCGATCAGCCAACGAACTACAGTCTTCGTTATGCTGAACGTAATTCTGATGAGGACGAGAAACAGAGCTCTGGATATTTTGCTGGGAGTGAACAGGATATAGAGGACACTGTGAAGACATACTGCACCGAGGGTACACCATATGGAACCTCCCTCAACTCCTCGAGAGCTGCTTCACACTCGGATCTCCAGGATGATGGCAGAAGACACGAGAGAGACTCGTCTCTCAGACCTATGCCAAAGCCAAGGAGTTATGCAGAGAGAGTTGATGAAAAACACTTGTCTCTAACTGTCAAACCCATCATTATACCCACCAACTCCATGGAGACTCACTCAGATATTGATTCAGGTGTTCCTGTGGAGGAAGACGAGACAGACACGACTGAGGATGCAATAATTGTTGAGTCAACGATCACACGGTTGACTTCACTCGTTGTCGATGAAGAATCCAAGGTCTCGAGTGACAGAAGACCCAGAGAGCCAAAAGCCAAGAGACTGAATTGTGGAGAACCGGAGAGTCTCACTGAATCAATGGTCAGCGATGGTGAGGATGATGATGAGGATTTGCTGGCTGCATGCATTCATGTTGGAATGCAGAATAATCGGCACAGACAATCATTCAGAAGGGACAGTCTTGATAAATCCAGGGAGACTAATTTAGTCAGATATCAAACGAGTACTGTCTTACATCAAGTTGACAATAACCCATTGTCTGAGGTGAACAGCCAGGAAGAGTCGAGGATTGCGTGTGAGGATGAGAAAAATCCTCGGAATGAAGGGACTGTGACAGCAGAGAGACAAGAAAATCCTGGGGAAATGAAATCAGAGAATCCAGATGCTATTGGTCCTGAGAGCATCGACTCTTACGACTCGGTGGAGAGATCAGAGCAAGTGCTGTTGGAGTTCTGCATAAAATCGAGTTCTGGGAATGTCGAGACGATTGGATTGAGCGAGCCATCGTCTCCCTCTGAGAATGTGGATGCAGCTCAGACTGATGGATCATCAGTATCAAAGACCAAGATGATTTGTCCAGATGTTCCACTGGAAGACGTCCACGAGGACGAATATCGACGTCAGCGTGATCCAGATGCTATGATTGCATCGTTAGATCGATTGACAGCGACTCTCGTTCAGCAAACTGAAGCCATGAGAGAACGTGAGTCATCAGCGATGAAGCAGAGCATTCAGAGTGACACCTGGAATGAAGACTCACCCAATGACAACTCATTTCCAACAATCAGCATGAGTGTTCCTCTAGTTGCTTCCTTCAAGAGTGATACTGAGGACATGCAGACATCAAAAATCTCCTACAACGATCACAGCAGCATGACAACATCAAAAATAATCGAGCAAGAGGCATTCAGACTCGCTGAAGCTGTCAACGCTGAGTTGAGAGTAATGAGTCTAACGAATCAGGATCTCGATTCTATAAAACCACCATCAACCATGAACAGCTTGATATCACTGACCAACAGCTACGCAGGTCCTGAAATTCCGGGGAATTCAGTGATTCGTGATCACACAACGTCGACTTCTCTTCCGTCAGCTCTTTTCAAGACTCGGGGTAGTAGAAAAAAATCATTGCCTGTTGGAATAATGGCTAGACGAGCACTTGGACAGACCCAGAGTCAGAGTCTTGAGAGTCTTCTCAATGACAGCTCACAACTTGATAATGTAAAGCCACCATCGATGATGGATGAACTCCTGGACACTGGTGACATGGAGAGTAGCATGCTGAGTGTTGCTAGTATCACCTCGGAGATTGCTGATCGAGATCAGGACTCCAGTATCACCAGTAGTGATCCAATATTTGATCTTATCAAACCAGTTGCCAATGTTCTGTCAATGACTTGTCTCAAGTACGCTGAGAATTCAGCGAATAATAGTCTATCCGAGTACCTTGAGAACATAAATCCACCTTCATTGTTCAACGAGATAAGTGATATCGATGACACAACAATCGATGCTAATACCGATACAATGTGCAGTGATACACTCTGCATTGATGTTGAATTGCACACTGATGAGATTAATCCGATTATTGATAGAATTGAAGAGGTTGATAATGACACTGATGAAGCTGCCACACCCATATCCACGGAGTACAGCCTCAGTAGTTCAGCTGAGTCAACACCCAAGAAGAGATTAACAAGTAAAAATCACTTGACACCCAAACAGAAGAGGCAATTGGCGAAAGAGAGATACAAGACGTATACGATTGCTGCTGAATTGGTGAAAAAAGAGGAGGAGGAGAGGAGAAAGCAGATGGGGGAGCACAATCTTGTGAGCAGACCAAAATTGTCACCATTCTCGAAGCTGACACCAAAACAGAGGAGACAGGAAGATCGAGCGAGATTTCAAACTCAAGTTCTTGAGACACCACTTGCTGTTAATCAGATAATTGCAGTTGATGAGGAGAAGAGTATCGATACGGCGACAGTAACTCTTAAAACTGGAATTCCATCGTTCAGGAATTTTACTGGGAGGATTCGACAGGAGAGTAGGGGACGATATCGCACTAGGACAATCGATGAATCACAACGGGATCAGAGTAATACTGAAGAGTCCCAGGAGGGAACGTCAGAGGAAATGCAGACGATGCTGGAGAAAAATGCTAATATCGTTCTTCATACACTCAGTGAAACTAAAACAGATGAGTCACATCTGGATTACGAGACGATTAGTTTAGTTTCTCATGAGTCTGGTGCTGAGATAAACCTCAAGATGCGACTTGAGGATGGATTGGGTAGGAATTTCTCGACTTTCGTGAAGAAGAAAAATAGTCAGCCCTTGGAGATGGAGAAGGAGACGTGGAGAGTTGAGGAAGTTAAAGCGAGTGAGGATCAGCCAGAGGAGCAGGATGATCAATCATCAGAGGGTAGTGAATCAGAGAGTGAGACTGGTGTGGCAGAGGCGAAAGAGCAGCCAAAAAGACCGAGAATCACCAAGCCAGGGAGTCGAGAGACACCTGGAGATATTCAGGATGATAAGATCGAAGTGGTCAGCCCGAAGGGCATCAGGGGCAGGCGAAAAGCTCTTTATTCCAAGCCGACGGTTAAAAAAATCACTCCACAGTCGTCACCTTTGAAGCAAGGAGCTAGTGGGATTCCCATTGGACGGGCTAATCCGTCTACAGTTGTTCGAGCAACTAGAGCAACAACTCTCAGACAAAGCACAAATGCAAGCAACACGAAACACCTGGGGACTAATAAGACACCAGTCAATGCCAAAGCCCTGGCTTTATCCAAGAGAAGTTCAATTCCCCAACGTGGATCTTCATCAGCACCTGAGGAAACAGTTAAACGTCACAGCACACCTCCAGGATGTCTCTCCAGTCCTGGAAGGAAATGTGATGGGATCAAACCCCTGGAGCGACAAGGAACCTTCACCAAGGACGAGCCTGAAATGGAAAATACACCGATGGTCATAAATTCACCCAGCAAATCAAAAATAGCTAAACCAACTCGTGGCTCACCATCGCACGTACCAGTAAAATCCAAAATTTCAATCAGAAATTTTCAATCTAAATTGACAAAGTGCTCAAGTGCTGATGGAATACCCAGTCAAAAGGCAGGTGGAACAAAACGTCAGGCAGATATTGGAAAAAATGGTGAACAAATAAACGCACAAGGTGGAAGAAAATTGGGTCAGAGATCGAGTAGTAACTCGAGTATAGTCTCAGCTGGTGGTTCCCAAAAATTAACGAAAGAGGCGACGAGTAAAATAGCTAGTCTGTGGAAGAAAGTTGAGGAGAGCAGAAATAAACAGAGATACGATAAACCAGATACAAGACAGTGGATCACAGCTGATAGTAAAACAGATGGTGATATCCATCAACTTCCAACGTTGAGGCTATTCCGTAGCTCAACATTTGAGGGTGTGCCAAAAGAGACTGGCATCAAGATGCCGAATAAATTGGTTAAAGTTGCTGAGAGATCGTCATACAGAAATTCTTGTGATTTGACGGACATCGATGCCAATGGATCATGCAGAGTTGACAAATCTGGGGATAAAAGTGATGGTAAATGTGGAGGGGTAGTCCTCAGGAAGCAGAAGAGCGAGGGATCTGATGGTGATGCCAAGAGGATATCTCGATTGGGCTCTTTTTTCCGAGTTGATTCGGAAAATCAGAGTGGCACATCACAAACTAATGGTTCTCCTGCTGTTCCTTCATTAAATTACAATCAGAAATGTGAAATCGGCATCCCAACAGCATCATCCAAAGTCACAACTGTTTGAAGATACTTTTATAATTTACTGTGAGACATAATTAATTTTTTTTTCGTTGTGGCTAGTCAGTATTGCCTCGTTTTGCCTATCACAAATTCATTATCTCTTTGGTTATTTGTCCATGAGTTATTTTTCAGGTGGGAATTCGCTACCTTTCATCATTTCTTCATATTAACATACATTTTTTAATGTACATATGATAACCGAAGAGATTGGCGTTTGTTTACGCTTGATTTATTTATTTTGCACTGTATATAACTGATGGGAGTCATACCTGGTATTTTTTTTTTTTTTATTTTGAAATTATCGTGAAAAGTTATGGAGAGTTCTCAGTGGATTTCACGTGAATACGTTAAAATAACTCTCAAGACTGATAGTAGAAAAAAAATGGCGAACAAATGATGGAACGTGATGTGAAACAATAGTTTGACAATGAAAAACTCATTGAAATTAACGAGAGGTATGAACTTTAGATCCTCACGTTTTTTTCTTTTCATTTTTTAATTTATATTCTCGTATTCTAGTGGTCTAAACAAAGATAATAATATATGAGAGAACTTGCATAAAAGAATCCCATCCCAATTAACATTTAGAGCGTCTAGTCTATTTCGACGAAGAAAAATTCATCGGGAATACATAATCTATTTTTAGCATTTACGAGTTCGTAATGAAATAAAATTCTAATGTAAGTGAACGAAGAGAAAAGCATTAATTCAATGCTATTTTCTTTGGTAATATTAAAAGTCTTGAATAGTTATTTTACTCGGAAAATTATATGGCAAGTTCTGTCACTTGGAGTTTTCCATTTGTTTATTTTTTTCTTTTGCGTTGTTTTTTTTTTCTGGGAATTTTCCACAGCAAATGGAACCTTGCCTCCTGCTGCCATGTGTACATATTTTCCTCAGTCTTTTCTGTATTTTTTCGTTTCTTTTCACTTGAAATCTCCTCTACTTCCCGCTGGATTGATGGAAGACGAGTAAAAGGAAGAAGTTTTGTGAAGTGAGTGCTTAGTACTAGATTTTCGTTCATTTCGTATCAATGCATTTATCACAGCCCCTCGTCTAGCCTGGGTTAATTAAGTTTAACTCTTTTCACTAGATATTTAAAGGGGAGATATAATTTTACCATTTTTCCTGCTTCGGGGCAATTAGAGCGTCCGCTTGTCTCTCTAACATTTCAAAATGTAACAGATTTTCGCTCTTTTGTTATGTTCGTAAGCTTCTGGGAAATTTAAATTTAAATGAGTTGTATATTATTGAAAAATAAAATTTATAGCAATACATGTGACATCTTTCAATAAAAACCCAAAGATTTACACTGACGAGGATTCGATTTATGTGTTTTTTCTTACATGTTAGTGTTTATTGTTACTGATTTTTAATCCACATTCATTGCGGATATTCGTACAGATTAATTGATTTGTCCTCGGAAACTGATACCAGTGTGTTGTTCTTCTCTGGATGGTATTTCACTGCCCAAACCTGCAACAATTTAATTAGAAATATTATAGAGGTGATATCAGACATGATTCAATTTAAGGCCCGGGTAGACTATCTATCGAATGTCATCTTTTGTTTATATTTTATCTGTTTAGCCTAAAATACATTAAAATTTGGGATGAAATTTGTGTTGAAGGAGCTACTCGAATGGTTATAAAAAAATAATGAAAAAAAAGAGGAAAAATTATTGAAGGGCGCTGAAGAGCGATATTGTTTAAAAGGGATCTACCAAGTTTACAAAAAAATAATAAAAATTACGCAGCTTACCATTGCTCTCCAGAAGATTGAGTGACAGCTAGATGCAATAGTAAGCTACGTATTTTTTATTATTTTTTAGCAAACTTGGTAAATCCCTTTTAAATAATATCGATCTTTAGCGCCATTCAATAATTTCTCCTCTTTTTTTTCATTATTTTTTCATGTCCATTCAAGTACTTCCTTGTAATGTATTTTAAATAAAATTTAAACAATAGTCGACGTTCGATAGATAGTCCACCCGGGCCTTAATTGTATATTTAATTATATGTTTTTATCGTTTTTTAATCTATTTTTTTTAGAGGACGTGTTAACGTTTAGGTAATGGCAATTTGTTTAAGAAGTTTGAGATACTGATCTGAATTTAATCTAATCTAAATTTAATGTTGATAAAATTCAGTAACACACATTTTCTCTAGAATTCTTATTCCCTCTTTCATATTTTTGAAATATATTGGATGAGCTCGTGCACGAAAATAAAATTCCCGATTATTTGCGAGGATAGCACACGTTATTAGGGATTTTATTTATGGAATTATTATTTTTCAAAGTGTGGCACGTAAAATTCTAGACACTATCATCGATAACTCTTGCTCTAATTGATGGAATTGAAAAATTCGAGGAGCAATCGGAAACGATCATTGGGACCTTTAAAATGATCCAATAAATCCGTATAAATTACTCCGAATTCTACGATAATTAGCAATAAACATGAATTTTTCGAGCGTGACGTAAAGGAAAAATTTAAAAAACGTCAATAGCTATACAAAAGCGCAATAAAATCAGTCAACTAGTGCCCCTCGAAGGAGTAAAAAATGTTCTTCAAAATGGTATACAAAAATTCCTAATCGTTCACATTAAAAATGTAGAAAAATCGAAACAAAATTGACTTTTACGTAAAACCTCGAAATAACATTTTCACGTTGAAAACGCTGAAGCTCAATAATAAATTATGCGAATTACACAACTCACACATTTTCGAAAGCTCATTTAATAATTTTTTAAGGCCCGGATGGACTGTCTGGAAAAGATAATTTACTCTCAAATTGGGACTTCTAATTACTCCATCAATCAATCGTTTTTTTCCGATAATTGTTAGCTAGCGGCCTAGTTATTGACAACCGCTAGAACGCTAGCTAACAATTATTGAAAAAAACAATTAATTACCAAAGTAATTAGGAATCCGAATTTCGGAATAAATTATCTTTTCTAGATAATCCACCCGAGCCTTAAATGAGTTTACAATAGATCACCTCAATTCAAAAGAAACAGAGGAATTATCCGAAAAACAGAAGAAAAGTCATTGACTCATGAATTTCCGAGATGATTTGATATTTCGATAATAACCAACTACACTACACTTTATCAAATCTTTCCCGACTTATAATTCGCGACCTAGGTTTCACCGAATCTTCTATGATAGGTTCTTGTGTGGGTGTACGAGACTTCTTACTCCTCCCTCCTAGAGGTATGAATTTAGGAATGTATAAGATAAATTTCTTTAAATTCAAAACACTGGAAATTATTTAATCGCAATCATCCCATCCCGGGGTTCCCCAGAGTTCGCGAGGGAGACGCGACTGGCATGAATCCCACAAAGATCATGTTTGAAGTGGTCTCCACCTTCAACTAGTTGTGATCAACTCTTTTCTCGTTGGGATACCTCTTAATTACGACCTTGGTTGGTGACTAGTGACAGTATCAATAAAATTTTATCAAAGATTGATGTTTTTGGGTTTTTTGGGGTTTTAACCAACATTTCCTGAGGATAAAAACCGTAAGACTCACTTGATCTGAATGATCCTTGAATGTATGAAGACATTGTCTCTCAGCGAGTCCCCAAATTTTGACAGTATGATCTGAGCTACTGGAGGCAAATTTTTGTCCATCAGGTGCAAATGCAACCCCAAGAACCCAAGAGGCATGTCCAGACATGGTACCAGCAACATTAGCTGATTGAACATCGTAGAGTTTCATGTGGCCATCATCAGAGGCGGTCAGGAGTAATTGAGAATCAGGAGAGAAGCAGAGAGATCTGATGGGCATAGCGTGACCCTCCAGAGTCCTCAAGACCTTTCCATACGCAACATCAAAGATGTTTATGATACCATCAATGGCTCCACTGGCGATGTACTTCTCGTCGGGGCTGTAGGCAACACTCAGGGTGAATTTTCCACCTCTGGTGTCCAGTGTTTGCTCCTCCTTGCAGCTCTCTGTGCCGTACATGTGGATTTTTCCAGCGTGACTACCGGATACTATGAATTTGTCATCTGGAGAGAAGACCACTGTCCAGATGTCCACAGGACCCACTTCGATACTGGAGATTTTATCACCTGATTCCAAGTCCCAAAGCCGGAGGCTGGAGTCCAATGAACTCGATGCACATTCTGCAATTTTTGGGGTATTTTTTTTATTGATTTTGGGGACAGCTGAGGCAACATGGGACACTCACTGGAAAGAATTTTTAACTCATACCTAGTTATTTGTTTTTTTGGGCAAAAAATGTGAGACACAGCCTAGAAGCGTCCCAGTCTTTTTTGCTGATTTAATTTTTCCTTTTAATTATACTTTTGTTTTCTTACCTTTTTTTATTTTTCAACATTCTCAAAAAATACGCAATCAAACTTGAATCTCTCATTTTTTACTTCTGATGGTGACATTCCTTGTAGGAGAATTTACAATTTTCTTATCAATTGAGTGTAATAAAATTCTGGAAAAATGAAATATTGAATAATTGATTCTCACGACCGATTTTTTTCCCTCGTCTCCCATTTTACCTCCATCCCATTTTATTCCTTGTTTTATCCGAGTTTGGGGTGTAGTTATTATTATTATTATTATTATTAGTATCTAGAGAGAGGATGTATGGATGATTCCACGGAAATAGCGATTATCATGAAATCATTCGTTTCATCATCATTACAAGATAATCAACTGCCTTCCCCACCGCAAATCAAGTCGCGAACAAGAATACTGACATAAATATCACTACTTCTGTTGAATCACTCATGTGTGTTAAAGTTGCTCCACAGAAAATATTTGAAACTATTTAAAGTATCACCCACTCGTTCCATCAGAGCTGATTGCTACGGAGACGACACCGAGAGAATGTCCACTCAATTTGTGTTTAATCTTCAAATTTCCATCCTTGTGCTCCCAAACTTTCACCGAGTCATCCACCGATCCTGTGACGATATATTCCGATGATTCGTCATCATTCGATCGCATTGAATCCCTGAGGAACGAAAATCATTGATAAATTATTCAATTACGGACAGTTATTTATTAAAAATTGATAGAGCTTATTCATATAGCAATTGTTACATTGAGCAAAAATATTTATTATTATTAATGAATCGTATTATTAATTTGATATTAATAATAATATTATTTATTTATTAATTATTTGTGTTTTTAAAAAAGTCATTCCTCCGATTGAATAATTTCCAGGCGATTCCGATTAGATTACAATAATAATCATCAAATCGCGTTAGAGAACAATGTAGGGTATGTCCTTTGGTTGGAGGAATTCCATTGGTTGTTATTAACTTTAATACTGAATTCTCTATAATATTAATCATTATTGAGAGAATTTATCATATATAGAGAATCAAGATCATGATCAATAGAATCATCCTTTAGAAGAATATCATTATCATCATTATCACTCAGTCCAGAACACTTGGGGTTGGCTCACCTCGAGAAATATAATTTTTATCAAAATGAGCGATTCAACTTAGATGATGTATTTTTTGATAATTCTGAAAAACCAAAAAAGGTAGAGGACAGTATAATTAAAGAAAAAATTAAATTTACAAAAACTCTGGGACAGTTTTAGACTCTCGCCAATATTTTTTAGAGAAAAAAAAGAAATGTCTCCCCTCTCAGCGATTAAAATTATATGAAAAAAATTAATTTATACGTATGTATATAAACAAAGAAATTTAAATTGTAAAGAATCGCATGTAACTCATTGGCTGGAGGCCCTCGCGTTTAAATTAAAATATACGATACTCATCTCTCCAGTCAATTAATTTTTGGGATAAATGAATTTTGAAATCATCGCACCGTGAATCCTCGTTGTCATGATTATTTTCCTTCTTCCGTTTCGGCTTGCCCCAGGCACACGTCCAAATACTGTCCTCATGTGCATTTTCGGTTTTATGTATCAGAGAATACTGCAATTATTGAAAAATACTTCACATTAATTATGCAATTACTCTATAAACAAGTAACAATATAAACACAACATAACCTCGAGCTTGGATAATGACAAATTAATGAAGTACTCACCATATTGTCTTCTCATCTAAACAAAAAAAAAGATTCACCAACTTTTAGGCAGCACATATATTTTTCAGAAATTTTTGATTGTTTTAATCAATTATTTACCGTTTTTTTACCGAATTGTTTGAAAATCAGTATTGAACTGTAATGAGACAATCCCGCCGGTATCTCATTACACACTAGATAAAGGGACCCTAGATAACCTTGAATCTAGAGAATTAACAGATGGCGGTTTTTTCGAAAATGTTCAGTCAATGAAAATCAATCAATTGACATCGATAACGCGAATAATTGAATAATTTTTTCAAAATAATACAAAAAGTTCTTTGAAAATCCAAAATAATTTCAATAATTAATAATCATTAAGGGAGGGAATGATAACGTTACTTTATGCGTCACTCTTTTTTCTCATTTTTTCATTCCTGCTAATTCGTAATTTCTGCTATATCGTAAGCTTAGGACTGGATCCGTAGCCCTTCTGACGTAACAGGGGAGGGGGTAAAGCGCTCTATAAATTATCTACGAAATTCTACAAGAAAAACTTCATAATTAAAAAAAAAAGACTGAATCTTAAAGCCCGAATGGACTTTCTGGAAAAGATAATTTACTCCGAAATTGGGACTTCTAACTACTCCGTCAATTAATAGTTTTTTCCGATAATTGTTAGCTAGCGGCCTATTTGTTGACAACCGCTAGAATGCTAGCTAATAATTATTGAAAAAAAACGATTAATTGCCAAAGTAATTAGGAATCCGAATTTCAGAGTAAATTATCATTTCTAGATAATCCACTCGAGCCTTAACTAATCCTGCAGAGAATAAAATAAAAATTTGACATCAGTAATTACGATATCTGAATTCATTTTTATATAAATTGAGAATGAAGTTTAAAATACTGAAATTGAGATAGGCCTATAACCAGATAATTTATTTAAAAAAATATAAAAATGAAAAATACTTTTTACAACATATTTTTACAATGATGATGCATACATCCCTCGATTAAATCGAGTGTATAATAAAATTAAGTAGATTTGATAACGGAAATTTGAATGTGAAGTTACTTCCTTCGAGTTCGCAGAGAACGAGTGGAGGACGGTGACGGAGATGGTGGTACCACCTCAGGTGCTAAATCAACAAGACTAGTTTCCGCATTGAAAAGTTTTTTCCTCTTCCCGGCCCTTTTTTCACTGGGAGGTGCAGCAGCAGCCGCAGCAGCAGTTCTCCTTGTAGTTCTCTTCGACTCAGATCCAGACAGCTCATAAACAGGAATATCAATTTCATCATTGTTGGGAGTCTCGGCAGGCGCTTTTTTCCCCCTCCTTGCACGCCTGCTGCTGGTAGATTTGGGTGAGGTATCATTCAAGGTAGCTTGATCATCCGAGGGGGCTCTGAACTTTGTGGTATCGTTCTCCTTCTCTCGAGGTGTCTGGCCCTGCCTGGTGAAGACCTCCTGATATCTCATCACTTCCCTCTTCTCCCTGTCGAGATTATCTTGAAGACTTCGTACCAGACCCTCATACCTGGCAATTGTCTCGTCTCGGTTTTTCTTAAAATGTTCCATCTCTGCCTCTTTCTCATCTAAACTACCGATAATACTGACATTTATTGTTTTCAAGTCTTTTATCTCTGCTGTCTGCTCGGCAATATTCCGCTGGAGCGTTGTAATTAATTTCTGCGTTTGCTCGTAGTTTTCACTTCGAGTCTCCATCAAAGTTCTTATCTTGGTTTCCAGGGCTTCGTTAGTCTTTGTGGCATCTCGGAGGGCTTCCCGTGCTTCACTCAACTCCTGAATGATCTCCTTGTGAGCCTTTTCAGTCTCCAGAGTACTGGGATCATGAGAGGCCTTGATATGAGTCTTCAACTCCTTCTGAAGCCTGACAATCTCATTATCTTTGTCATTGCCGGCCATCTCTAACTGCTCCAGGTGAGACTTCATGTGGGAAATTCGGTCCTCATTGTTCTTTAACTCCATTTCCAACTCGCTCTTTTCAGTTTGGCATTTAGACAACAGAGCATCAGCTTCTGTAATTTTCGTCTCCCGGTTCTTCATGTCTTCCAACTTTAACTCCAGCTGTTGGACCTTCTGGAGACTTTCTTTCATGGCTTGAGAATTTCCCTGATTACCCTCTTCGAGGAGCTTCAACTTGTCCTTGAGATCAGAAACCTGAGAGGCATGCTGTAATCTACATGCAGCCAACTCCTCTGTCAATTTATTATTCTCCCCTGCTCTCAATTTATCAGACATGTGGAGATTGTCGATCTCAAGCTCCATCAGGCCCAGCTTTTTTTCCCACTCCCTGATCTGAGACTCTAAATCCTCACGAGCCGTCTGGAGGTTCTCCACCTGCTTCGAGAGATTCTCCTTCTCACTCGACGTCTCCTTGAGTTGCAGTAGCAGCTGCTGGTTCTCCTCGGTGAGTCTCTTCTGGTCATTCCCATAGCTGTTGTAATTTTCCAACATGCCTTTTGCCGTCGTTAATTCATCACTCAACTCCTTAATCCTCGCAACTTGTTCCTCACAATTAGCTTTTACCGCTTCGTACTGATCCCTCATATCATTGAGCTCCCTCTGGGACAACTGCTCACCAATTTCATCTATCCTCCCCTTGGCAGACCTCAGATCTTCCTTCAAAGAATTAATTTCCTCCACACTATAAGACAATTTCTCACTCAATATTTTTTTTTCCTCCTCCAGGAGTTGTATCTGCTCCTTCAAACTCTCAATCATCTGATTATCCCCCATTGGAATGTCCCTGAATTCCAAAAAGACCTCTTGACCCTCAGAATCTCCAGTAGAATCCTCCATCGTTGGGGAGAGCATCTCCTTCTTGATAAAAGACTTCGTAGAATCTAGCTCGACAGCAATATTCCCCTTCAACATCTCCAACTGCTTCTCAAGTTTCTTCCTCAAGTTAATCTCTCTTTCAAGATGATTTTCTATTTCCTCCTTGAGCTGCGTCTCATCCCTGTAGAGAGCATTGACATCCTCGTACGCAGACTCGAGGTTTCGACACTTATCACTCTCATTTATATATTTCGCCTCCAACCTGGCAATGTTCTCCTCCTTCTCACGACAATCATTAGTGATCTCAATGTAATCGAGTTTAGCTTCATTGAGCATGTCTTTGAGATTCTTGTTTTTCTGCCAGAGAGCCGTGAGCTGCTCCTTCAGCTCAAGAATGTAAATACTACCATCGCCTTTCGCCGAGAAGTCCTCCTCCAGCGACGTCAGCCGTGCCTTCACACTCGTTAGTTCGTCTTTTAGAATAGTGGTTTCATGCTTTAAATTGTTCTTCTCCTGCTCGACCTCCATCTTCTCCGTACGCAGATCCTTTATCGTCATCTTGAGCGAGATGACCTTACCAGAAAGCATCGAAACCTGTCTTTGGAGCTCAACAATCCTCCCATTGTCTGCCTCTTCATCGTCATCATCAGCATCTGATCGTGTACTCTCTTTACAAGCCAATTTCTTCTCATAATAATCCTTCAGCATCGACAGCTGACACTCTAGAAGGTCTTCCTGCTGGTTCTCATAGACCTCCATTTTCGCTTTATAATCCTTCTGGATTTTCTCCAACATCTCAGCATAGGAATTTGCGAGTTCCTCACGTATTTGCAGATCCCTCTTGAAGTGTGATGTTTTGAGGGCTGCATATTCATGTTTCAGGCGCTCATTTTCAACGATTAATTCATCGTAGTCTGCCTGGGAAACGGAAGCATTACTCTGAGTCTCATCTGCCTCAGTAGAAGACTGCTCAGCGATTATTTCCAGGTCTGTGTCATCCCAATCTGTCACTGTCTTCGTACTCTGGGCGACAACCAGTGAGAACCTCGTCAGTGATCTTCGTTTTGGCTTCTTCGGTTGGATTACTATGTTCTTTGCGATTGCTGCAAGGTTCAGGACATGCTGGGTCTCCTCGTAAAGATTTGGAAGTGGATTGACGTTGACAATGAGAGCCATGGGCTCCTTTCCAGAGAGAGCCTGCTGGAAGAGGCGCGTTAGTTTGGACTCGCGAAAAGGCCCGAGGTGTTCTTGGCGCTGTTTCATCAGTTGCCCCTCGTAGATGGACTTTAGGCAGCGACCCAGAACCAAAAGACTCGTGTTGATGTTCTGAGCCTCCTTGAGACGATCTCCAACATTTAACGTCTTCTTCAGGCGCTCTGAACCCGCTAAATCGCAGAAGGAAAATCTGCTGAGTTCGACAGAGTCTGGACGATTTTCGTTGTAAAATTTGAGTAATGTAATGGTGAAGATACAGTGCGATCTGGAACTCCTAGCGTTGAGGACTGTTGCAGCGACTTTTAAATTACACTGGCCAGCCATTAGCACTTGATATGCTTCAGAGCCTGAATGGACGCACACGGTTTTCAGATTTTTTATAAAAGCCCTTCCTTGGCTGTCTGCAGCCAGTTTCAAGGGTATTCGACGCTTTTGGGTTTCGCTGGATAACAGGTCGTAGATCACTTCATTATAGATCTCTGCGAAGGACACCCACACTAGGTACTGGGCATCTGTTGCCTGACTTGGACGCTGAGGGGATTCTTCCTGTAGAAGCTTCTGCATTTGCCTGTATGCACTTATGTATTGGGATGAAAGGATTTTTGTTGTCGTTTCTATCTCGGTTAAACGCTCGGATGCTGTGAGACTTATTACCGCATTATTATCAACTGGCTTGTAACAAGGAGAGGTCTTTGGATTTATCTTGGAAAAAACGTATTCCAAACTCCTAGGTATTATTCCTGGACACGAAGTCGAACCCTGGAGGGTGTGGGATTTTCCTGAATTCGTTGTGCCATATGTCATGGCGATGCAGTTTCGCCCATCAAAAAATTCCACCATCTGTGGCTGAATTACCCTCTCAAACAAAGATAATTGTGTAGTATCAGGTCCAAAAGTTTCGGTGAATGTAAATTTCCGGCACACAGTATCTATCTGACTATTTTTCTTCATAGAAACGGTTGTTGTGTCAAGGCATGGGATTCGTGTGAGAAGAGTTGTAGTGTTGATGATCTCATAGGCCTCTTTCTGCTCGTCTGGCAGTTTCATTTTTCTGGGAAAAGGTTTGAGGCGTAAAAATACCTTGACTGTCTGTCTGGACAAAACATCAGGCCCCAGGGAGGTGCCATCAGAGTAGATCGACTCTTCAGTCTCATAATCAGAGGAAAGATTCTTCTTGCACTGTGCTGATGGTCCAGGACGTTGACTATATGCTAGAATGCTGGGATCTCGTCCATAGAGATATGACATTTCATTCCTCATGCCAGCACCATCAGAAGGCCTAATGGGATCCAGTAGTCGATCATCCTAGAAATTTCCAATTCCTCAATTTATTGAATTTAAGAGCTATAAAGCACAATAATCTTTACATCTCGGTTTCCAGAATATTGCAATAATCTAACGATGTGACTCTTTCTATCTACATAGATTCCATTAAATACACAATAGTCTCACCATAATCCAACTAAAGGTCACAAAGTTTTATCACCAAAATGACAAAAGCAGACGAATTCTCAACATCTCCAGATAAACTGAATCAAATTTAAAAAGTTCAACGCCATTTTGAAGGACTTGCAATATCCTAGAAATTTACACAGAACTCACGAGATATGGATTTAAATCCCTTTGTTCAGACAGGCAAAAATCTGGATTGAAATTATAAATTATTGTTTACCCCTTAAGCGATCCCTCGAATTTTATTGACGATTGTATCTCCCAAAATTTATTCAATAATTAAAAATGCATCTTACCTTTAAGACATTTTCGGTTAATTCACTCATGATTGTCAGTGGTAATCGCAAAAAATTTTCGAAATCGAACTAAACAATGTAGTAATCTTGGTGCACGGTATTTCCCTCGCAAGCTATCACGTGCCACTTGATGCGCCGCTAACCAAAGCTAACCAAATGAGCGGCTTTACGGTTTGCAAACGGTTACGAAGTTTTAAATTCTCTCAGCTGTCATTGGCCCCCCAGAAAACATGTTTAGACTTGATTCCAATGGCTAAGACCAATCACATCAGACCAAACACCTAACAACCACAAACCAGTGCCCAAATAACTCACAAATAAATTCGCAATTGAATAATCGAATTCAATCGATCAAAAATTAACCGACAGAATTCATATTTAATTAGTAAAGTAAATATTTCCTGTGTTAGCACCAGAGATTACAGACTACTCCATCAAAAATTCCATCGACAATTCCCGCCATAAATTGAAGTAAACATACTGAAGGATGTGGTGCAATCTTTTTTATGAAAATTTCCATCAATTTTTGGAGCCAAAGCCAGAGATTCCAAAACAGAATAGAAAAAGGTCTTGCATAACCTCAATATTAACGACATTCCAACTGCACCAACTGCTGCAACAAGCATCTTTAGTTTTTATCAGTGAGAATGACCGTCAAGCTCACTTCAAAAGTTTTGTAAATACGTTTGACATCACGAGAAATAAAATAAAAAAGACAACGGAGTTAATTCATCACCTGACCATCAGGTAATCAGGTAAAAAAAAAATACCTGAGATCCTCCAATGGGAGTTTGTTCCATACCATACCGAACGCAAAAATCGTAAGGACTTGTTGTTACTAAAATACTTGCAATATTTTGGAAATTTCCTCATTGAAAATTTATATTTTTCATCTTTTGTTTGAGCAAATTTTAAATAAATTGTAATAAATTCCTCTAGAAGCGTTTGCATTTTCTACAGGGACTACGTTTACACTTACCTATTGGAACTTATCAGCTATTACCGATGACAGGATTTTCGTTTTCGTTTCGATCTCGGTTAAACGCTCACATGCTGTGAGATTAATTACGTCACGATTACGCACTGGATTATAGCAAGGAGAGGATCTCATCGGACTGAAATTTCGCACAAAACGATTCGATATCAGGATCTATGAATTGACTTTCGTCAGTTTTCAGATTGTTTGCAATTAATTTGCATGTTAATTTTGTATTTTTACGTTTCAGACAGTTCTGCATAATTTCGAAGTACAATTAGAAAATGGAAAAATCAAAAAAGCAAAAAACCTCGAAGAAAACATTCTGCGGCAGATAAATACTTTATTCACTTTTAATGTGGTCTTGCGGTCGAGCTCACATGGGAAATTATACATTGTTTGATCAGGGCAATTACGCAATTACCTACGTTTGCCTAGAAAAAAATCCATGTAATTTTTTTTACTTGGAAACTTTGAAAGCTTCGCTCCCATCGGAATTGTTTTTTCTTTTACTAAGTTTTTGTTCAGTAGAAAACAGTCAATATAGACAGTATTTACAAACCTTAAAAATGAGTATCAAAAATGGTTTTCCCTGAATAACTTTTTAGAGTGTTAAATTTATGACCTGGAGAGACTCTCTAGTTTATCTATTATCGTGTACACCCTAAGGGCTTTTGTGCACAGTTGATTTTGGTAACAGAGTATTTCTCATGGTGAGATTTATGCCTTATTTAGTTGCATTTTATAATAATAATACGAACAGGTACTTAAAAAAGGAGTCGATTTGCTTAAATGTAGAAAAAAGGTACTATATCATTTACCAGAAGTTTAGAAAAGAGTGAGATTAATCAATTAATGTTGAAAATCACCTATTGTGAAACATCTGTTGTGAATAACTATAATATTTCCAACTGCTTATAATATTTGGGGAGCACCAGACTTCTTTGCGCAACCGAGAGAAAGAACCGTGCTTAAAACGCGATCCCACTACGTGTGAAGAACTCAAATAAATAAAATAATTAATAAAATTCGCCCGAGTTATCCCGGATCAGCCGAAAATTACCCCTAAAGCGGAAAACTTTCGGGGGCCTTTTGCATTAAGGGGTGTCTTGGGAAGAATTAGGGGATTTTATGAGAATTTAGAGTAAGAAAATCATTAATGGAGCAGATTAATTAGTAAGAAGAAGGTTAATTGATGTTACCCTCCATGAAGGAACTCCATTCACAAAATTTCTGCTGGATGTACAGTCTGGCTGCGAGTGCCAGCACCCCTAAGGAAGCGATCCGTGAGGTATTTCGGGTCCGTTTTAAAGTGGGACGGACAGTAGGGGTGTCCCCGACCATCGCTTCCTGCTGAATTGCCGGTTGTATTTGTCGCGTATTGTGTTCCAGATTTTTTTTTTACGTCCACGGACCCCCGGGGATGCAACCAGATGAGACTAGCTGCGATAATAGGGCTTTTGGGGAAAAGCATAAAAATTTACTTCCCTCATTCAAATTTTTCTTTCTGTCCCTCTTTCCCTTAACCCCTTTGCTAAATTATGTTTAGATCCGGTTTAGCGTTACGTTTCGGCACTTTTCGTTAGGTTCAAGTTTTCCAATTGCTGATTCCTCGACATGAGAAAATTAGTTGGGGCTCGGCGACCTTTTTAGGTCCCGATTTCTGTGTTTTTGTGTATCGGCGAGAAGGCTATAGGGCGGGAGGGCAAGGGTAGTGGGCATTTTCGGTCGATTTGAAAATGTCATGTCACAAATCAATGTGATAATTATTTCTGCATAATAGAGCTTAATGGGTTAATCGATTTTTATGCATCTCGGGGGGCTTGGTTGAAAGCTGAAGTGAGAGTTATTGTGGCAGAACGGAATTACTTCTGACATATCCTCAGTGGCATTGGCAGGGTGAATTTGAATAAGTTGCTAACAATTATTGGTGCCGTGAACGAGTGGTGGCAAGTTAAACTGGTAATAATGGTATACAAAATGACTTTATCTATATTATATTTATCTATATTATATTCAACGTGAAACAATGAAAATAAAATGATACTTTTCTAATATTCTCACGCCTCCTGCCTTTTAGAAAGATGTACACAGAGAAATGAAAAGAATATTCGCATGGAATGCAGTAGTTTTCCACATAATGGGAATATGGCCTTTGGCGCCAATAAATTGGCTATTCTACATTTGGCTGATTTACTTCGTATTGCATCTCACGATGGCTTTTGCAGATTTAGTGCTGGCTTTTGGAGATCTCGAGCAAGTTATTTCAAATCTTACAGAGACCGCGTTACAGTGTATGATAATAATGAAAATGGTGCTGATAAAGTATTCTGGTACTCTTCGAGAAACTATCATGATGGCAACGAATGAACTCATGGAGGATGCATTTTCACAATCCGCAGAGAAGAAAATTTATTTATTTTATATAACTGTTGCTAAAAAGTTTTTCAAGGTGCCGTGTATTTTCGCTATCTGTGCTACCACGGCGTACCACTGGATGCCTATGCAAGCTCAAATATACGCTGGTAATGTATTATTATTGTTTATTCCATGTATATTTCATTCGGATTTTTATTTGGCAACTGTGGAAAACTATGCCGTGCAGGCCTCCACCGACCAAGCTTCATCGAGACATAATATTGCCTGTCATCCGACCAGAAAGCTCATCTTCCTGGTCGGGAAGCGGTCAAAAAATTGTCGCCTTCTTGTTGATTTTGACTCATGCACTTCATAATGCTCGCCTTCGGCTCGGACTGTAAAGTCGCTTTCGTCAGATTTACGTTTTCCGTCCTAGGCGCCAAAAATACTATTCTCGATGATTCTTGAAAGATCAAAATTCCAATCCCCCCAACCAGACTAAAACCCGCGACACACGGGTCCTCTCATTTGGCTGAGCGATTTAACCAATTCGGCCGCCCTCGTCGGTTTTACACGCTGGTAATCGAAAATTTTGTAACGATCGAAATAATAGCAATGATAATTATTACTTATTTACCCATTCAGCTTTGACTAATCAGACAGTGCCTATGTTACTGCCGTATCGAACCCATGTGCCTATCGAACTGACGGACCTGACGACCTACATATTCATATGGATCTATCAGCTGCCAGTAATTTACCTGAACACATTTCAAATCCCAGGTGTTAGTTTGGGGATTACTCTAGTACTCAATGCCTCCGGCCATCTCGCCATATTAAAAACGAGAATACGGCGAATCGAACGGATTAATGGTGTGGTAAATGTTCAAGTTGAACTTGTTGATTCCATTCGACGTTATCTCCAAATAGCTAGGTAATCAATCAATTATCCCTACCTTCAAAATATTGTTATCCCCTACCCCATAATATTATATTGTGTTGAGTGTTATGCTCTTATGCTAGATATGTCAAATTGATCAATAAGAGTTTCCGGATTATACTTTTAGAAGAAGTAGTTATAATGACAGTCTGCACGGCATTGGGGTGCTACACTCTGCTGGTGGTGAATATCCATTTTACAGAATTTTAAGACGGTTTAATTATTTTATCAATATGAATTTTCATACTATATTCCTTTATTTACAGTATTCAGATTTATCTAACGGCATATATTTTATGGTGTTCATTGTGTATATGGTGGGAATGTTACTTCCACTATATGGATACTGTTTCGTTGGAGAATACTTAATTACCCAGGTAAATTTCTGTACCAA